GCAAACCTGTCAACACACCTCTGATGCAAAATCTGAAGTTGTGCAAAAATGATGGTGCTGCTAAGGTTGAAGAAACTAAATACAGAAGCATAGTTGGGTGCTTGTTATACTTGACTGCAACAAGGCCGGATATTATGTATGCAGCAAGCTTACTCTCTAGGTTCATGAATGAACCAAGTGAGCTGCATTTGCAAGCAGCAAAAAGAGTCCTTAGGTACATTAGAGGATGTCCAGACCTAGGAATATGGTTTAAAGAAGTTGAAGATTTTAGTTTACATGGCTTCACTGATAGTGATTGGGGTGGCTCCTTGGATGATATGAAAAGCACCTTCGGATATGTCTTCTTCTTTTTCTTTTTTTTTTTTTTTTTTTTTTTTTTTTTTTTTTTTTGTGAATGCAGGTACCATAAGCTGGAATTCAAAAAAGCAAGAGGTGGTAGCACAATCAACTGCTGAAGCTGAATATATTGTTGCTGCTGCTGCAGTAAGCCAGTTGATTTGGCTGAGAAAATTTTTGAAAGACTTAAGGCTGGAATAGATTCAAGGAAATGTGCTGCATTGTGACAACCAATCGGCAATTGGTATGTCCAAGAATCCAGTACTCCATGGTCGCACAAAGCATATCAGAATCAAATATCATGCAGTGAGAGAGGCAGAGCAAAATGGGGAGGTAAAGCTGATACATTGTAAGGGAGAAAAGCAAGTGGCTGACATAATGACTAAATCATTAGGCAGATCCAAGTTTGAAGAATTAAGATTCAGACTTGGAGTTTCCAGCAAAAATATCAAGGAGTGTTGAAGTAAATGATGCTTTGCTGGAAATCTTTTTGCATACTTGGTTTGAAAGTTTGGCGCTAGTTTTTGAACTAAATGGGGTTGTCTGTCAAGTGCAGTTCCTGTCTATTTTGGAAGTGTATTTGTGTGGTGTTTAGGTGGAGTCAGCCGGTGATTAAGGCCACAAAATCTCAGTGAAATTTGTGTTTGTTAAGGGTAGTTCAAATTGTAGTATATTTAAAGATTATTTATACTGAGAAGTAGTTGTAACAGTGATGTATTAGGTCCACATATCTCTCAGTTAGTGAATGAAAAATACAGCCTGTTTTGCATCAGTTTTCACTCTTCTTGTTCAGCTCTCTCTCATGCACGAAAATCCTTCTTTCTCTTAGCTTTTGAACCCTGAAAAACCTACATTGCACGAATAATACCTTGTAAATCTTATGATAGAAAACTTCTAGCAACCCGGGTTCTGCATAAGGATGAGACAACTCCACCTGCTCCAGAAATTTAGAATAAAGTAAAAATGTGAAGCACAAAGCCACAAACAGATTCCACCAAAAAGCAGGAAAAGGTTCAACATCTTTAACAGTAACTTAAGAAATTGATCAGCATACTCACTTCATCCTTGATAGCAGGATGAACTGCTACTTTGCTAGTTTTCAGACATTGTAATTCTGGCAGAGGAACGTCCAATACTTCATAGTACAATATATCAGAAGTCTGTCCAAGAACATGATGAGAAAAAGCATAATATTATATTTTCCATTAAATTTCAACATCCCAGATTAACTACGACCACGACTACTACCTGGTTGCAGTGAATCAGCATCTCCAGCAAATGATCAATGCCATGGTACTTATTAGGTTGAGGTTTGGTTGCTGAGAATAGCACTTACGTGATGTAAGCCTGATTTTGGATGAATCATCCAAATTCAATTTCTGAGCTACTCTTTCTACAATATCATCATACGTAAAAACCTTTGACCTTGACATTCAAAACACAATAGCATTAGATACAATTACCCGGTAATGTATATATACATAAAATAATGCACAATCAACAAAGATAAATCTGCAGTAAAATTACAGAATTCAACTTCATCTAATATTAAGCCTTTACATCTCTAGACAAAAATCATCTTCCTTCGGCTTTTCAAGAGATCGGAAGTGAACAACCACCTATCACACAAAATCATGCAAAATTTAGCGAGGTTAAATGACGAGTTGATGAATACCAGTTAATTATAAAAACCATAAACACAATGTGTAGGGATGACAAGGAAGATGCTCACTACAAAAAAGCAATAATAAAACAAAATGAATATCAAAGAAAAGCTTAGTTTTCTGAATACAATAGGAACCATGGAGGTGTACCCGTCGATTATGCACATAGTCCAAAAATGAAGGAACATCTGGATAGAGATTTTTGAAAGCAAACAATATCTCCATCTTGAAGCTGCAACAGAGACAGTGCCGGAGTTAAACATTATCATAGGGAAAACAAATCACACCATGTCTGCTATGCATAACATTTACCTAGCTAGCTCGAAATGTATATCTATAGTCAATGGGTTCGCACATCACACTGGGCTCAAACATAATTTCCTGAATATCAAAACATGAGTAAGTTACTATCCTCAAAATAATGCATAACCATGCAAATTTAAATATGACATGCTAACTGATTATCAAATAAGCCAACATTCCAATACAACCTCTAGAATGGACTTAAACCACAAAATCCTGTAACTAGAGATCTCAGCTCTCCGACAACTCAACTCTTCATGGTCCACACTTTTAAAGGACAATATTAAAAGTCAACCCTTAATACATCAGTCACACCAAATAACCAAGCATGGAGAGACAGATAAGTGGACCTCAAACGAGTTGCATACCAGCAAGTACCCTACACACTCTAGGGCAGAGAGCACCAAATTATCATAATTTCATGCTCACAGGCAAGGATGACATTGGCTTCAAGTCCAAGCATAACTAAAGGAAATCATCTCCAAAAAATAAGAAAAAATGTAAGTCTCTAAGGGGCCACAAACTATTAGCACACCCAAACTTTAAATTTCATAAAACGGTGTGATTAACTACTCCTAACATATATCATTTTAAGAAACACTGAAGTTGCTTTTTTTTTTTTTTTTAATATAAGGCCATTTTTTCTTGAGAGAATTTTGAGTGCTCGGATCCTTTTTCGTTCCAAATACAGTACTAAATAATTTTGCATTAACTATTGAATAAGTTAAATAGAAAATAAGTGTGAAATACTATAGCAATCCACTCCTTTGTCACAACAATTGAAGAGAAGCCTATCCTTTTTGCAGCTTTACTAATAGAGTAATGGACTAAGAAATTCTTAAACCACTCAGCTTGAGTTCGCCACCGTTCATTTAAGGCTGCTCATGAAAGATAAGCAACAGGAAACAGACCTCATAGAGTTTGATTTCTTCATCAGGATCATAGCCAACCATTTTATTTAGTTTTGCCAAATATTCCATCGGATTACCAGTACTCTTCACAAAAAGCCTCCCAGCATAGCTGTTATCATAGAAAAATAATCTCTAAATCAAATGGAGTTATTCCAGAAGAGAAAAAAAAGAATACACTCACAGACACAAATATACAATAGAAAGCAACAAAGTACCATAGCTCTTCTTTCTCAGGGTCATAAAGCTTGAAAAAAAGTAATATATCTTCCTTTGTCTTGCCAGGTGGAGCAATAGGCCGTAAATCCTGAACATAAAATACAAACGTAAAAAACATTTATTTTGATTGGTAAGCAACTCTAAATTAAATGTTTTTGAGGGCTGTTTAGCTTCAGGTATTTTTGGTATTATCATAACAGTACAGATAGATATAGAAATCAGCATATCGACTTTATACTAGTAGCCTCACAGAGGGATGTTACTATCCTGCTAGTGGACACCTGCCCACATGTATCCACTACTTTTTATCAATATAATTTCCATATTTCTTTAAAAGTAATAGAAATAACATTAATGAGATCACTTAAAATATGATGATAGTTCAAGGAAGAAACCAGAAAGCCTAAATAGGAAGGAAAGAATTACCAGTCCACGCTCTACTTCCAAGAACAACTTCAACTCCGCATTATGAACCTTATTTGATGCTCCCTCAGTTGCCCAACCTAAAATACCAAGATAAAAAAAAAAAAAATGATAACTGGGCAATGCATATCTTCACATCCTCAGGCACTAAAACCACTAAAACAAGTGCCCAATTTATATAGTAAAACCATTTGGAATAATGACCCCCAACGGCAAAATGGAAGGAGACATTGCCAGAGCTGATGACAATTCGATACAATATTGCAGAAATAAAACATAATGCTGGAGATAAGCAACATCAATTATCTCATAACAAATGCATAGCAAAATTAAAATCCATATTTTCATGTAGAAAACCTAAAACATAAAAACTATAGATTTGTGACAGCTACCACAATGTGTTGTACCATTAGCAAGAGCAGAAAAAAATACACTGGATGGGAATTAGCACATACACTGAAACGGATGGTCAAAATCATAATGCTGAATAAATGAAGAACAATGATCATAACAATTCACTGGTTCTTCCAAGGAAACATATGGATATTAATTCACAAGGAAATTACAAATCATAGAGGATTACATATTTGCCTAATATAGACAATTGCAAGCAACATATTAGCAATGGCCCAAAAGAAGAATGTTTGTTATAATTATTACATCACGAGGAGTCCCTTGAACAAACTTTGGCGTTGCCCGAAACTTAAAAAACCTACCAAAAAACTCTTGAAACAGTAACTATAGGCTAGTAATAGCAAGCAGAACTACTTATAGTTTGTGTTTCCTCCAAAGGTGTCAACGGCCGATTAGGGCGGTATGTATGGTTCTGGCGCTTTGCCCAAAGCCAAAACCGCTGAAGTTGCACTGGAATACCAAACTCTTTAGCACCTCTTGCTGCACACACAATCCATCACATCAAGTCTGTAATACCCCGTATTTTTTGTACATAATTTTATTAAATTTTATTTTGTGATTTTGGGGGGTAAAGTGTTATATTTTGAAAGTTTTAGGAGATCAAATAATAGCCGAAACAACTGAGGACTAAAGTGAAATTTATCAGATATTTTGATTAACAGTGATCAATCAAAGAAAAGAAGAAGGGAGAAGAAGGGAACGACGGGGAGAAGAAGAAGAGAAGAAAGAAAAGAGAGGGAAGAGAGAAAGAAGAAAGAAAGGAAGAAGGGAGAGAACGTAGAGAGAGAGGAGTAGAGAACAATGAAGGTGGCTGGAAAAGTGCCCTTCAGCCAACAAAACTCTGATGATCAGAAAGAGTGGAGGAAGATCAAGCATATGTGAGGTGAGTAAAGCTTAAAATTTTCCTCTTTAATGAGTTTTAGTTCAATTAATTTGTGTTGTTCATAATTGAGTATAATGGCATTAGATTGAATTAAAATAGGGAGATTGATTTCAATAATTTTATGTGGGTAGAAGGTACATGCTATTCCTAAACAAATATGGGTTAAAGATATGATTTTTGATATAAGGGTTTATTGTGCAAAATCTGTCCATCTAGGATTCCGAAAATTGTTTACATGTTTTGGGTTTTTGATTGGAGCTGAATTTTGGATATCATGTTGTAGGCTTCTTGAGGAGTGTTAAGAAATTTATTTCATTCAAAGACTCGAAGGATTAAATTTTATATGAATTTTTGAAGTTCTCTTGTCAATTCTGGAATTTTCGTTTTCTGCAGAGCGTGTATTTTCGGAAAATGATTTGATACAACTATTCTTGTCCAAATTGAGTGATTTTAAATTCTAGTGAATTATATATTTGTCTAGTTTAATTCTGGAGAGTTTCGTGAGGTTTATATTAAGGGTTGAATTGTTATTAATTTTACAAGTTAGTAACCTCAATTCTGGAAACAGTTGGCAGATTTGAATCAGTTGAAAGAAAATTGTGTTTTAAATAGTTACTGATTCTAGAATGACTTGAGAAAATTATGGGAATAACTTATGTGTCTCTCAAAGGCCCCATTAAAATTATGGCTTAAAATGATGAACATAATTTTTATGAAAAATCTGAGAGTGACCAATGTTTGATTATGAAACAGTTTTGTTAAAGAAGAAACTAGGTTAATCTTTTGGTGTGTGTGAAGTGTCCAATGAATTTAATAATAGGGTGTTACCTTGGGGGGACTTACGTATGGAGGATTTATTGGATTTTGTATCTAGGGAGGCAAGCGGGGGGCATTGTTAGAGGATTTCAATCTTTAGTGGCTTAAGGGTCAAGCTCCAAAATGGTGAGTAGAAAATCCAAACCCTAACTTTCATTTTTGAAATCATTGTTTGTTATAAACTTCAAATGAGTTGTTTTGGTTTACTATTTGCCATAATTTAGTGATTTACTTTATATAAATATGATTTATTGCTAATGTTATTGGTTTACATGAGAAATTGAGTATTTTTTTTTTTTGGAAAATTGTTGTTGATAATATAAAAATTGGGCTAAGGTGTTATTATGAAATCATGTTGAAAACTTGGATTTTAGCCTTATACTACACATGAGAATTTAATGTCATGTTATATTTTTTCTTGATGAATGAAGGTGTGAGATTTATGTAAAATGGTGAGTTAAAGATATGTATATTGATGAAAGTAGTTTTCAAACCACCAAATATAGTACTCAGCCCCCTCATGACATTGATTTGATTCTACACATACGTATGATATGATTTTACAGGCCCAAGTGGGTCGAAGGCCTGAGCGATGCAGATATCGCTACACAGGATTTTGCCTACCCAAGTGGGTCGAAAGCTCAAGTGAGACAGATATCGCTACACATGATTTTGTCGGCCCAAGTGGGTCGAAGGCCCGAGCGAGGTAGATATTGCTAGACATGATTTTGCCAACCCAAGTGAGTCAAAGGCCTCAACGAGGCAGATATCATTAGACATGATTTTGTCGGCCCAAGTGGGTTGAAGGCTCGAGCGAGATATATATCGCTAGACATGATTTTGCGTGGGTTGAAGGCCTGAGCAAGGCATATATCGCTAAACATAATTTTGCCAGCCCAAGTGGGTCGAAGGCCCGAGTAAAGCAGGTATCGTTAGACAGGATATGATTGTACCGACCCGAGCGATGCATGGTCTCGCTGGGTTGAAGGCTTGAGCGGTGACCGATTCTGCCTAGTAGGATGGATATAGTGGTTCAAACGGTGCGATGTTAGATCTTGTCAGGTTGGACAGATTTATGTCTAGGTACTAGTTGGATAAGAGTTTTCACATGTGATTGAGAAATGGTTTGGGTATGTATATGTATATCATGAATTTATAAATGCAAGTGCTATCTGTATATGAAAACGGTTTTCAGAAAGAAGGTATATTTTTTTATTTTTTTATTTTTTTGCAGTGAGAGATTTTAGCATTGGTTATGAAAGATGGTTTATATTATAAAATGTGTTTATGGAAATGAGATTTTATGAGCATGAATGTTTTATTGTATATTGAAATATTTTATTTCATACTAACATATTCTCCACTCACTGAGCATTATAGCTTACCCCTTGTTTTTAAATGTTTCTTTTCCACCCGCACCAAGCCAAAAGGAGTGAACCTCACTCAAGGTTGAGTCACACGACTTCATTTCATCATATGTGTCATAATTTTGTTTTATTTTCCACTGCAAAGTTTATGTTTCTTTATCATATATTTATTTCATGTTTTGGATGGTAAAAGATATATATAAAAAATATATATATATATGATACTATACATTTTATTTTGTAAAAATTCAGTTGTACTTGTTTATTTACAAATGATGTTATAATTATTTGTGAGAAACAAAAAGGAGTGCTTGTAATTTTTTTTAACTAGCAGAGTTTTATGATGTTTTAATTCATAAATAAGTTTTATAGTTTTCTCACATGCTACGTCTCGATCACCCGAGTCTCATAGGTGTGCCCGAAGCCTTTGGGATAGGGAGGGTCAGGACGGGTCGTGTCAAAGTCACTGATTCAATACATTGAAAAACCACACTAATGCAACATATAGAGATGAGAGAGGTAGAAATGGAGGAGTGTAAATTCACCGAAATAAAAACATCACAATTGCTAGTAGAAACACATTAGATACTCCAAAATGATGGTACCTTGAAGAGGTAAAAATGTATCTGCTTTTGAATACGAAAACTCCTGACTTTGTCATGGTCCACAAGTTCAAAATATATATGCCTTCCAATTTGTTCCACAAGGTCCTCATCTCGTGCTACCTAGAGATATCATATAACTACTAGGAAGATATGCTCAACTAGGTGTTGATTTTAACTATAATCAATAAATTTAGCAGTAACTAAAACAAAGATTGAGAGGACCAACCTTTATAATTCTATAAAGGTGTGCCTCCGCCTTTTCTTTCTTCAACCTCTCCTGGGAAAAATCCATAATGTATGGCAACGTGTTTCGCAGCCGAGACAATGAATTGAAACCAAAAGGAGTAGTTAATTAGATTACACTGAGAGAGAGCAAAGGAGATCACCAGAAGGTGGTCGAAAAATCACGAGACACAAAGAGGTGGAGTCTTTTATTATATTAGTTGGTTCTCATTTAAAAAATGCAGTTGCACCTGGCTGGACGTGCTAATGTTAATGGCCAGCAGTAAATATTAATTGCCTTGGAGAAGAAAATGGTGGCATGAAAGAAACACACAATGATTAGCCATAATAAGTACACTTAAATTATGCCTGATCTCTTATTGCTTCGTAATTTAGATAAATCATGAAATGTTAAAATAATGATCTAATTTTGCTTCGCAAGCTTGGTTTGAAACTGGAGCCCTGCCAAACACTACAATCTTTGAGAAGTGAAAAACAATGGTCTTTGGTCATGTAGGTGACCGTGAGGAGGCTCAATCCCCAAATCTATGAGAACAAATCATATGAACGATCCAGCTAAGCCCTCATGGGTGTCAAGGACTCAACCACAAGCACTATATTTCATTTAAATGGGACTGGAAAATCCATAGCATAGCAGGGTAGATCTTTTAATGTTTCTTATGGTCTATTGCTTATCTGATTTAACACATTCCACTGCTAAGATGAAAAGGAATGATCAAAAAAATTCATGTCTTACAAGAAATAAAAACAGAAATCATAATGAAATTTATGTATGTACATGCGCACAATCTTATTAAAGTTTGAAAGGCAAGAAAGTGAAAATCTCAGTTGAGGAAAATGAACAAATAATTTAATCTTAACAATATATGCAATTGTTTCAATTAATAAAACAAACATATATATAAGAGAGAGTATTTGCATAATTACAATTTCAAGCTGCACATCCAACCTTCAGAATTTTTGTTGCTGCATTACATTCATAGACCAAATATAAAAGCTGAACGAGTCTAATGGTTGAAGCTACAATAACTCTGTTTACTTAAAGTGCCAGCAAACAAATGATTCAACTTACATAGAATTTAAAATGAAATTCTTGAAGAAGATGCTTAAGAATAAAGCATTAATATTCATAAATTGACCCCAACACAAGCAAATAGATCTATATCTAAACTAAAGGTAAATATTCCTAAAGACTAAAGCAATTAATAAAATTCCTGGCAAGAAGGAAAGTATATAATATTCTTAAACCTCTTCTCCACCAAAACATGTATTATTGATCATAAAAGAAAACTTATGCCATATGAATAACTCTTTCAACATTTTGGTATCAATAAATGATAGAAATCTATACATGCTTTCTGTAGGACACAAATGCTGCCTGTATTAAAGTGAATACAAGTAGGAGAAGAATGACAGCAAAACTTGCAGAAATTGCAGTCCATGGGTCTATTGCAATACGCATTCAGATCTTCAACAAGAGAAGAAAACTAGAAATAATAAGAATCAAAAGTAGCATGTTCCACAAGTTTATGAAAAAAGAGTTGACACTCGTTTCACTATCCCCAAGTAGATTTTCAATAATTTCTTGTCGAACAAGCAATTCCACATCCTTGGGAGTGTTAACAAGATAATTCATTAAGATAATATAGTCACATAAGAGATTATCATTACATATGTCATTGGGCTACATATACTGAGTTGTGGAATTTCCAAATATTCCATCACAGAATTTATTAATTTATTTTTAGTTTTTGTAATAAATTTTCAATAAGTATTTATGGAAATTTAGTTATTCATTTTAAAAATTAATTTTAACATAAATTTAAATTTGAGATTAAAAAATTAAACATTAATGAAAAAGAAGCATTTATTAACACTAAGAATATTTAAAAAATAATGTATTCCATGATATTTTGGACTCTTTCTTAAGCACAACCATAATCTTTTTTAAATTTTAGTCCTCTCCTTATGTTTGGCTCTTCTTTTGGGAGAACCTAAAATTTGTCCAACTGCACTCTCCTAAAATTGATAGTTCTTATTTCTTAAAAATATTTTTGTATGATGAAATAAAATTACAAAAAATAATATAAGCGTAAAATTGTTTGAAATATTTAAATTAATTTTCTTGGATTTGTGCATATTATTAATCATATAAATGTTTATATTGAAAAAATGAAGATTATTATAAACACTTACAGGGTCATTTATCTTTTGTTTCTTTGACTTTGGCATGTTGGTGTTTTCACATCCTCCTTTATTATTGTTCGTTTTTTGTGATGCTGGTTATTCAAAGAAGAAGAGAGATAAAACGCAAAAAGCGGATATATATTTTCTTAGACAAAACCTGCATATAACATACTTCAACAAATGTTTAACAACCAGCCGAAACTTTTCCTTATTAAGCTAAGCCACACAAAAGGCTAACAACTCCATTACAAGAGTTGAGTCATTAAACAGAGGATTAACATAAACTACAATATATCTTAAGTTACAAAGAAGAGAAGCACTCCATGCGCTCCATGCAGAGTAGAAAACTTTCCAGGTTTCACAAGCATTTGCCAATCTACTTCCAGCACAGCATCAACCTCAACACTCCACCTTGGTGCTTTGGCTGGAAACACCAAGTTTTAGCCCAAGGCTTCAAACTGGATTTAATAATGCCTTTGTCATGATATCTGCAACCTGGTCTTCTCCTCGGCAATGAACTAAGTTCACTTCTCCATCTTGTTCAGTTCCCTAACAGCATTATTTGATTTTAATATGCTTTGTTCTGCCGTGAAGCACACGGTTTCTTTGCCATTGCTATAGCCGACTGGTTGTCACACAAAAATCAAGGTAGGATCCATTTGTATTTGCGTAAGTCATCAAGCATTCCTAAGCCACACAGCCTGATTCACAGCTGCTGCGGCAGACACATATTCAGCTTCAGCAGTGGACTGAGCCACTGTTTCCTGCTTCCTTGACAGCCAACTAATAGCACCCTCATTCAGGTAGAACACGTAACCAGAGGTGCTCTTGCATCATCTACGGATCACCCCAGTCACTGTCAGGGTACCCCATCAGCTTCAGACTTTCGGATTTCCTGAACAAATGCCTAACATGCAGGTTCCTTTTACATACCTAACACACGTTTGGCAGCTTGGAAGTGCAATTCACTTGGGTTGCTCAAAACCTTGAGAGGTAGCTTGCTGTAAAAATTAGATCAGGTTGGTGGCTGTATAATACAGCAGACTTCCCACAAGGCTTCTGTATTTCCTTCCCACTCTCTCTGCAACATCGTTTTGCTTAACTTCGGGTTGGGAATCAGAGGGGTATTTACTGGTTTGCAATTTCCATTCAAACCTTGAAAGTAGCTCAATTGCATACCTTTGTTGACTAACAAAAATCTTCCCAACACCTTGAGTTATCTCCATGCCAGGAAGTACTTCATCAGTCCCAGTCTGTCATTTCAAATTCAGCTTGCATGTCCAACTTGAACTGGTCCAATTCAACAGGATTACTCCTGTCACCAACAAGTCATCAACGTAACAGGACACCACAGCCTCCTTTTTCAGACTTCCTATGTAGAGAGTGTGGTCATTAGGACTTCTAACATATCCTAGGTGCATATATGGTCATATTCGGCTGTACCAGGCTTAGGCCTGCTTCAATCCGTATAATGTTCCTCAGAAGGTACACATGACCTCCTTTCCTTCAACTGGTAGCTTCGGGTTGTTACATACAAATCCTCTGCAATCCATCCATTCAAGAATGCAGACTTGACATCCAATTGGAAAATTTCCCAGTTGAACTGAGCTGCAAGAGCCACAGAAGTCTGATTGGTCTTGCCTAGCAAAGGGCGAAATGTTTCTGAAAAACAATGCCTGGTTGCTGTGCAAATCCCTTCACACCAGCCTGCTTATGCTTGTAAATTGAGCCATCAGGGTTGATTTTCAGTTTGAAAATCCATTTAACTGAATGACTTTTCTTGTTTCAGGTCTAGGTACCAGTTTCCAGGTTTGGTTCTTATTGATATGCTCAATTCTCTGATGGCAATCCTCCACAACTCAGACTTTGCAGCATCAAAATAGCATCTTGGCTCCACCACTGGTATTACACCTTTCATACACATCAGCCAATGTCTAGTTCCCCTCACAGCATGCTCTTCTTCCTCATCTGAATCTGCCTCTTGAATTAGTGCCTCACTTCCCTCATTCTGACTTGATTCAACCTGCACATCAACTCTTTGTTCTTCCCAATTCCAATACACATTCATCAACCTTAATGGCCCTTGTGATACAATCCTTTTGGACTTAGGAATATAATTCTATAGGCTTTAGAGCTGGCTATAGCCTATAATATCCAATTTCTGCCTTGTCATCTAACTAGACCTTTTGCTGGCTGGGATCATTACATGGTTATACTTCCAAACTCTTTTAGGTTCCCTACTGTTGGCTTGATTCCAGTCCAGCCTCAATTGGTGTTTGATGTTTGACAGCCTTGGTGGGCAGCCTATTTAGCAGGAAAGCTGCTGTATTAACAGCTTCTGCCCAGAACACTTTAGGAAGGCCTTTTCCAGTCATCATGCACTGGCCATTTCCATAAGGTTCGATTTCTTCTCTCAGAGACACCATTTTGTTGAGGGGTGTATGGTGCTGTGAACTGTTGCTGTATTCCAGCTAGGCTGGATATCAACTTGAACTCATTTGAGGTGTAATCAGCCCAGTGCTGCCTCACTGCCTTGATCAAGGTTCCAGCTTCATTCTCCACCATCAACTTGAATTGTTTGAACACAGCAGCCCATCACTTTTCTGTTTCAAGAAATACACCAAGCCACTCTTGAAAATACATCATGAAGAGTACAAAATACCTGCTGCCATTTAGAGATTCTGTCCATAGGGCCACACACATCCGAGTGGATCAATTGCAACGTGTTGACTTGCTTCTAGGCTTGACCGAAGGGAATGGTGGCCTACAAGTTTGCCAAGTTGGCAGGCTGTGCACAAGTTTCTTTCTCTTCTATTCGGGCAGGTCTAATACCATGTCCCTTGTCTTGAGTTCTTTGATTCCAGGGTAATGAAATGTCCTAATCTTCTATGCCATAAATCAGACTCTTCAGCCTTGGTGATTAATGCTAAATTTTCAGGTTTTTTCCAGTCCAACGGAAAGCTTTTGCAAGCATCCTTACACTTAAAAACTCTTTTCCTTTAGTTTTTTATTATGCAAGAATGGTTTTGGAAATGTAAGGTAAAATTTCTCTCTAGCATTTGACCTACACTTAGCAAGTTTTGTGCAATTTCAGGTACATACAAAACATTGGAGATAACTTTAGTACCTGCCTTGGTTTGGACTGCCACATCTCCATCCTCTGCTTCAACATAGTCACCATTTCCAATCCTCACTTTGGAGTGTATGATCTGTCCAGCCTCACAAAGTTCTCCACATTCGCAGCCATGTGGTTAGTACATCCGCTGTCTATCAACCAAACTTCTCCAAAGGTCTGCATTGAGAAGCATGAGGCTACAAATAGTTGTTCTGTCTCATTGGACGGCTGCTGTCATCTGCACTTTGTGCTTGCTGTGGTGGTGTGCAGCCTTGTTCCTGCACACTTCTCAATGTGGCCGAATTGTTTGCATCCCTACATTGAATCCCAGGCCTGAACAGCACTTGCTGTCCGGATGTCCTTTCTTTTTGCAGTGGGAACATGGTGGATAACTTCTTCTCACTCTGTTTTTCCCACTGTACCAGCTCTCTCTTTTCTCTCTTATCCCAGCATACTTTCTATACTCCCCTGCATATTCACTCCCTTTTGAGCAGCCTATAGCACCTTCATTTGAGGCTCCTGTCATCAACCTTCTTTGTTCTTGGGCCTGCAGGGCATGTACCAATTCGTAAGGCTGATTTGGGAGAGGTCCTTTGAGTCTTCTAAAGAAGATATCTTGGACTCAAATCTTCCGGAAGGCTTACTAACACCTTTTCAACTATCATCTTGTCACTCATCTAACCCCCAACAATCTGATTTTGTTCACCACACTCATGAGTCTATCCACATACTCCTTGACCTTCTCAACCTCTTGCATTCTTAGCATTTCAAACTCCCTGCGCAGATTCATAACTTGCATGTTTCGGGTTGTATCACTTCCCATGAATCTCTCTTAGTCTATCCCAAGCCTCCTTCGAAGTTTCAAGCCATTATCCTTGTAAATACAAGGTCTGTTACTGCCGAATGTATATGAGAGAGAGCTTTGGAGCCTTGGACATTTCCTCTTCGTACATTTCATTGGTTCAAGGTTGGGTTTGGACCAAGTTGGGGTGCTGTCTCTTTCCACTACTGCCACAACCCTTGTCCTCTCAGGTAGGCTCTCATTCTAACAGCCCAAATGTGGTACTGGTCCCCATTGAACACTGGAGGTGAGAGTGATGCAGATTGGGAAGCCAGCGAGAACTGGTTGCAGTTTGAAAAGCTTCGGTTTTTCTTGCGTAAGAGTGAAGTTTGATGGTGATTGGATGAGTTTTTGAGTGATCTTTTAGACGTTAGTTAGTTGATTCAGCTCTGATACCATGTTCGTTTTTTGTGATGCTGGTTATTCAAAGAAGAAGAATATACAACGCAAAAGCTGGATATATATTTTCATTAGACAAAACCTGCATATAACATACTTCAACAATTGTTTCAACAACCAGCCGAAACTTTTCCTTAATCTAAGCTAAGCCACACAAAAGGCTAACAACTCCATTACAAGAGTTGAGTCATTAAACAGAGGATTAACATAAACTACAATATATCTTAAGTTACAAAGAAGAGAAGCACTCCCATGCAGTCCATGCAGAGTAGAAACTCTTCCAGGTTTCACACGCATTTGCCAATCTACTTCCAGCACAGCATCAACCTTCAACAATTATGACCCAATTTTCCATATATTCCACTAGTGGTTGTCAATTTCTTTCCTTCATCTTTGTCCTTCTTCAACCATCTACTACCTTTGTCGATCACCCTTTGTACACTATGAGGTATCGAAGTGTTCCATTTTTCAGCCTCAACTCTTCTATCATCAATCCTTTGCATAGTCATGGTCCCTATCATCTCAAGCATGCTCATAATTGGTAAGGTCCTGGATTCATTGAGCCTAGCATTCCAAGATTCTGACATATTGTTAGTCATGTGATCGACCTTCAATTCAGGATTGAATGCATGCTTGGATCACTGTCTTATTGGGATCTTCCTGAGGTAGTTAAATGCATTGATGTTAATGGTCCTTATCCATGGCTTTGTTGAAGTTCAGCATCTAAGGTAGCTGGGGCCACCGTAGCCGGGAGCCTTCTCGTACCATCTTTAGAAGTCGATGAATCCATCTCTGCAGAATACTATGGGGTCGAGATGTTAGTTCAAAAATAAAGAGTTCCTCCGCTGAATACAAGGAGCCTTACCTAATTCTTAACAGTTGAAACAAAATTATCTCAAATCGTTGTTTTAACATTTAACTCACATGGACCAGATAGATAAAACCAAGAGATGGGCAAAGTGAAGTGACTAGAACCAAGATAGATAATCAGATATAAGCTGCATCACACATATAGCATGTGAAGTTACCACTTGACCAAAAAGCATAATCTGATATGTAAGAGTTCGACATTAATATTTAAGTCTAACAAAAACAAATTTAGTATTCTCAACTTCTGAGACTTCCCTAGGAAACAAGCTTGGGATCTAAACTACGGAAAATTTACAAAAAGAAAAGAAGAAACTAAGAGGGATCAAGAAATAAAACAAACAGGAGTAGAACAGATGAATTTTGTTCTGTAAAGCAGAAAAGTGTAAACATCCAGGATTCCCCAAAAGCAAAGGGCCAGAGTACTCACACTTCCATCTCTATCCCAGAACAAACTTATTTTTTCATTAACCCTTGACAAAATTTGAACATTTAATTCCCCAAAATGAGTACCAATCTATGCTCTCTCTAGTCAAAACAGAAGGCCTGCTCCTCATAAAAAGAATTGAAACAAAAAATCTACTCTTAATATGTAAAAATATTCCACTCCATACCCACCCAAAAAAAAAAAAAAAAAAAAAATTGCATTCAACATAGTAATATCTCAAGTTTCTAAAATAAAAGTTAATATCCAAAGCTGGGAAGAGCAAAATCTCTAAAACAAATTATATTCCTAAGAAAGCAAGAACACAAACACCTTAGCTAGAAAGCTAAATTGTAACACTTAACACCTGAGATGTTACATGCACTTGCAACAAATTAATAACTCGTAAATGTTACAAAACATTGCATTGTTACAAAAATGAAAGCACTGAAGAGAGGCAGATAAACCAAAGCTATAATATTTGATGCAGATACCAAAAGCAAACTCAAAAGGCATCAACTTTAAACTAATAATATTGGACAATAATAAACTTGAAAATGAAGATCACATGCAGCTGCAAATCACCACAACGTTACAAAAGGGCCCTCGGCACATTTCAGATGAGAAGGGGTAGTCATGGTCTGCATTGTAATTTAATAGTCAGTTATTTTGTTGCTGAGTTGTACAAAGATTAGTGGTAGAGTTAGTTATTCTTTGTTTCTTCGAGAATCATCTGTACAGAACGCATATTTAGGCTATTTTTTTGTACTCGTTTTACAATACAATACAATATACTCAATTGAGGAATTCTTTAGCCAAACACTGGTATTCTCCTTTCCTGAAGATTTTCTTGTGCCCTATTTTCAATTGTAACATGGTATCAGAGTAGTGAATCCATCCATGGCTTCCGATGATTTTGCTGTTTGCGGTCCACCACCTCCTCCACCAAACCGATTTCTTAATGACCCAACCAACCCTTTTCAACTTGACCATGGGGACAATCCCTCTGTTTCTCTCGTCCCCGACCTCCTCACTATCAACAATTACACCACTTGGTCTGGTGCAATGCAACATGCTCTTCGAGCCAATAACAAATTAGGGTTCGTTAACGGTGAACTCACCAAACCCACAAACCCATCTGACCCTTTACTTCAACCATGGGAACGTTGCAACGACATGGTTACTTCTTGGCTCCAAAACTCGATCTCTTCCTCCATCAAATCCAGCATTGCGCTCGTCGATGGTGCCTCTGTTGTCTAGCTTGAACTACGAGAGCGTTTCACTCAACAAAATGGCTCTCGAATCCACCTCAAGAAAACACTCGCTGGACTTCATCAAGATCAAGATCTGGTAAGCGTTTACTTTGGAAAATTGAAACCTATTTGGGATGAACTCAACCTATTCGACCCATTGCCTGACTGTACTTGCGGTCAATTGAAAATCCTTTCGGATCGATATCACAGAGATTGCGTTATTCAATTTCTAATGGGCCTAAATGACTCATACACCAATTCTCATGACCAGATTATGCTTCTTGATCCGCTCCCCTCTATTGGCAAAGCCTTTTCCCTAATCCAGCAGCAAGAACACCAACACCTCATGCTCAACAACAACCCTTCCCCTGATTCCATGGCTCTTGCTATCAAGAAGTTTTATCCCACCTCCAAACCACCCAACAAATCTGGCCAAACACAAAAACCTCGCCCCAATTGTACTCACTGCCATTTATCTAGGCACACTTTTGAGAATTACTTCAAAGGAGGCAACGCTGAGCCTCCCACTTGTACTCATTGCCACATGAGTGACCATGTTGCTGAAAAGTGCTATAAACTCCACATTTATCCCCCAGGGCACAAACTATTCAACAAAGCTAAATCCTCACTAGTGTTTGCAAACTCTACTTCAACTGAACCAGATGAAGACTCTTCTGCCACGGTTGCCTTTATAAAGGACCAGTATCATCAATTCCTTAATTTGTTGCAACATAAAGAGCATCCTCTGATGCCTTCTCCCTCCACCAACTCATCCAAGACAACTTTTCATCCCCATGCTAACTCTGCTACTACTCCAACTATGTCTGGTATTTTGGCTTCATACCCCTTATCATTGTCTGTTTCTTCTCAGCACTCACATACTCCTTGGATCATTGATATGTGTGCTACAGACCATATGGTCTATATCACCTCCCTTCTCACCACAAACACTCACAATGTCTCATACTCTGTCAAAATGCTTGATAAGAGCTTGAAAGTATATATTTTATTAGTGATTTAATTGGATTATTTATGGAAAAATGTGTTTAAATTGTGGAATTTGAATTAATTATTTCATGAATGCCTTTTTCTGGATCACAGGTGTATCTTGAGTATTTTCAGGTTCAAACCAATATGTGAAGGAAAAAGAATGATGTCAATGGAATTCATAATGAGTAGGAACAAACAGTGCAAGAATCAGAGTTGAAACGAGAAAGTTGTGACACGTTGAAGATACAACGTAAAATCTGGAAATTCTTCAAGATGAGCATGCTTCGCTGTTTTGATCATAACTTGAGCTGTAGAAATCAGAATTCGACGATTCTTATGGTGTTGGAAAGCTTATTCAGAGAGCTACAAAGTTTGTGTTGATGACTTTACCAAATTCGGAAGATCATGGACTCATTGGACAGAAAGAATGATCGCTGCAGTGACGGTTATTATCACTGCAGCGATAGGTCACAGGCTTGTTTAAGTTATTACATTCTCCTAGTCCGAATCTGAATGGGTGAAGACATTTACTTATTTCCTAAGTAACATCCAAACCCTAGTACTATAAATAAGGGTCTTTAAGTAGTTTTAAAGGAGATTTGAAGGAGGAGAAAGGACGGCTAGCTACTACTTTGGAGATCGGAATTCTTGCGATTCTCGTTCACAAATTAGAAAAGTTTTTCTATTTTTATTTCTTGAACTCATGTTATTAAATACAATTGTTGTTTTTATTACTGTAATTATGAACTAAATCTCTTTTCTAGGGCTAAGATGTAGCCCAATTTATGAATATGTGTTGACTTAAATTGATGTTAATTCTTATTGAGCTTTTAATTCTAAGTTCTATTATTGTGCATAATGCTTTCAATTCTTAAGGGCCTGAGAGTTGAATGATTTTATGGGTTGGGTTGAGATCGAGAGATGAAACCTGATTAGTCTAAGGTAATAAAACCATAGATTGAGCGAACGCTAGAAATAGGTTACCGCGATCTGTGAGGCTCTAGTAAATTCCATAGAACTTAATGATCTCTTAGCTTCTAAATTCAACTTAGAGATATTTTGGGTTGTTGCTTAAGGGTTAATTCGCTAATTGTTTGAGAGGAAGTTAGTGGAATATTAAGGAGTTTGGCCTTTAGAATAAGCTTAATTAGGTTAGCAATAATTGTCAATGCATAGGATTAAATTGGTGTGAAATCTATGTCCTAGGTTTAGTCATATTGATTTCTCTACCAAAGTATTTATAAAATTATGCTTTTATTTAGTTTTTAGTTTATATTCTTTTTCATTAAATTCATTCTTAAAATTATGTTTCATCAAATAGCAATAAGATATACTAGTTTGATACTTGGTAAGTAGTTCTCTTGGGATTCGACACTCGTTTACTCGAGCTTTATTACTTGCACGATTTCGTACACTTACGAATAACCTGTCAATGCTAAATGGAGCTCAAGCACCCATCACTCATATAGGCACTATTCATCTAGGACAACACATTTCTCTTCATCATGTTCTCTGTATCCCCTCTTTTAATTTCAATTTAATTTCAGCTAAACGACTAACCACCTCCCTTGCTTGTTGCATTCGTTTCTTCTCTAATTTTTGTTTTCTTCAGGACCTTTCATCTTGGACAACGATTTGGAAGGGTAAACTGAGGCGAGGACTTTATCACTTGTTGCATATTGCAGTGCCTTCCATAACTCTTGTCGACCACCTTTCCACTCTTTCAAATAAACATGACTTTGTCTCAACTTCAATACTTACCAATACACAAATATCTGATACCTGGCACTATAGGCTAGGCCATACCTCTTACTCCACAATTTCTTTAATCAAAGATCCTATTGTAACCTTTCATATTTCTAATACAAATGATGTTCCTTGTTGCATAAGTCCATTGGCTAAACAACACTGATTGCCTTTTTCCATTAGCACACATTCCACTTCTCGTTTATTTGAAATTATTGCTTGTGATATATGGGGTCCATACTCAGTCACTGCCCATGATGGCTCAAAATATTTCTTATTTATTGTTGATCATTTCTCCCGCAGCACATGGGTTCATTTTCTCAAAAATAAGTCCTAAACTCGATCAGCATTGAATCTTTTTGTAACCTTGTGGAAACACAATTCAATCTCAAAGTTCAAATATTAATAAGTGATAATGGTGCTGAATTCAATATGACCTCATTCTTTAATAAAAAAATAAAAAAAAAAGGCATCATCCATCAAACTAGTTGCATTGAAACACCCCAACAAAATGCTCTTGTGGAATAGAAACATCAGCATTTACTAAACATGGCACGAGCTCTAAGATTTCAAGTTGGACTGCCATTAACATTTTAGAATGAATGTGTGTTAATCGTTGCCTATATCATCAATAGAATTCCCTCCCCCTTACTACGCAATAAAAGTCCATTCGAAATCCTTTTTCATAAACCTCCAACCTACTACCATATAAGAACTTTCGGTTGGTTGCCTATGCTTTGCTTCAAGCATTTCAAATGGCCAAACAAAATTTGCTCCATGAGCTAGGCAAGCCATTTTCATTGGCTACCTATTTGCTGTCAAAGGATACAAGCTTCTTGATATGCAAAATCACATTGTTTTCATCTCCTGGAATTTCATTTTTCATGAAACAATTTTTCCCTACCTTCATCAACAATCTCCTCCACATAACTTTCAGTCCCACTCCCTTCCCCTACCCATTCAAAATCCTCAACCAGTCCACACAGTTACTTCACCTCCTATTTGCCCTTTAGATTTACCCCAAACAAAAAGCATTATAACCCAAACTAACCCTCATCCCTCTTCCCCATCTCTCACACATAACCATTCCCCAACATCACCACAGCTCCCCAAGTCCACAAGAACTCGGAAAGTATCCTAGTATCTATAGGATTATCACTGTAATCAGACTCATTCCACCTTTTCACAAGCATTAGACAAGATGTCTACAACAGGTACTGTTTTTCCTTTACACAAAACACTTTCATACATCATTTATCACCTGTTTTTCATGCCTTTTCCACTTCCATCTCCTCTCATCTTGACCCACAAACTTAAAAACAAGCTGTTAAGGACCTGAGATGGTGTGAGGCAATGTAGGCTGAACTGGAAGCTCTCGAGCTAAACAAAACCTTGGTGTTGACTGATCTTCCTCAAAGGATCCAACCTATTTCTTGTAAATATGTTTGTAAGACAAAATACCATTCGGATGGCACGATAGAAAGATTAAAAGTCAGGCTTGTTGCTAAAGGCTATACTCAACAAGAAGGGATCGATTATCACGAGACTTTTTCTCCTGTGGCCAAGATTGTCACTGTTCAATGTCTCCTAGCTATTGTAGCCATTAAGGGCTAGCATTTGTAGCAATTCGACGTAAAATAATGCTTTCCTTCACGGGGATTTGGATGAAGACATATATATGGTAAACCCCCATGGATATACAAAAGGCAAACCTGGTCAAGTATGCAAACTCCTCAAAAGTTTATATGGACTCAATCAAGTTTCACGTCAATGGCATGCAAAATTTTCCAACTCTCTCATTCACTATGGTTTTACACAGTCAACTTCCGATTATAGTTTATTTACCATGGTGACTAAAGATTCATTTACAGCTTTGTTAGTGTACGTTGATGACATTGTTGTTGTTTCCAATTCCATTGCTTACATTGAGTCTCTCAAGAACTTTCTGAACACTTCCATCAAAATTAAGGATTTGGGTCCACTTCGATATTTTCTCAGCATTGAGGTAGCAAGATCTACCAAAGGAATTCATTTGTGTCAACAAAAATACACACTGGATATACTCTCAAACTCTGGTACTCTCGGCTCCAAACCTGCCAAACTACCTATGGATCAAAATCTCAAGCTGCATAAAGACTCCAGCACTCCACTCCAAGATAGTAGCTCTTTCAGGAGACTCATTGGCAGGCTTCTATACTTGACAATCACAAGGCCAGATATCAGTTATTTAGTCCAACTTCTCAGCCAATTCATGTCTTGGCCAAGTGATTTTCACCTACAAGTTGCACACAAGATTTTAAAGTATCTCAAAAGCAATCCAGGTCAGGGTCTTCTCCTCTCGGCTAACTCCCCTCTTCAATTACATGGTTATTGTGATTCTGACTAGGCTTCATGCCCTAATACTTGAAAATCAGCCACTGGTTTTTGCCTCTTCATTAGACAATCCCTTGTCTCTTGGAAATCCAAAAAGCAATCCGTTGTATCTCGTTCTTCTGCCAAGGCTGAGTACCAAGCTATGGCAACCACTTGTTGCGAGTTTACATGGATTTGTCAAATATTTCATGACTTGCACATTCCACATCCTAATCTTGCCATTCTCCATTGCAACAATCAAGCAGCTTTACATATTGCTGCAAAGCCTATTTTCCACAAACATACCAAGTACATAGAAGTGGATTGTCACATCATTCGAAACAAAAATCAAGAGGGAAGCAATGCCACTGCCCATGTCCCTAGCCACTCACAGTTAGCCGATATATTCACTAAAGCACTCTCTTCTAATGTGCTTAATACTCTTCTTTCCAAGATGGGAATAGTTAATCACCACTACTTTAGAAAAGGGCCCTCGACACATTTCAGATGAGAAGGGGTAGTCATGGTTTGCATTGTAATTTAATATTCAGTTATTTTGTTGCTGAGTTGTACAAAGATTAGTGGTAGAGTTAGTTATTCTTTTTTCTTCGAGAATCATCTGTACAGAATGCATATTTAGGCTATTTTTGTACTCGTTTTACAATACAATACAATATACTCAATTGAGGAATTCTTCAACCAAACATTGGTATTCTCCTTTCCCGAAGCTTTTCTTATGCCCTATTTTCAATTGTAACAAATAAAACTATTTGTAACCTCAAAGAACAAGAAGAGACACCAAGATATGAAGAAACAAGCAAGAATGAACATAAAGTAAATCAAAGATAGGCATACCAGTTCATATTACAAAACCCAAATGAAAGAAAATACCAAAAAAAAAAAAAAAAAAACTAGAAGCTAGAGCAACTAACCTTAATGCTAGCACAGTCAAAGCCTATGTGGCTAAAAGATCGAAACTTTCAATGACCCTCTAGTTTCTTTCCACTAAAAACCCTGGTAATGTCGCTTTGCTAAAGGAAATGAAGTTTATTTTTGCGTGTTGCGAAAGACAAACAGTCAAACACAGAGCCAAGGTATTATATAAGGTTTTTTTTTTTTTTTTTAATGAAAATAAGAAGTTATTAAGTATATTTTTTATCTGAAAATAAAAACAAAAATAATAATAATAATAAAAAGTTGTAAAAATTATTAAAAATGTACACTAAAATTTACCGTTTTCCAGTAATCTTTATTATTATTACATCTTTTTAATTTTCCTTTAACCTTGTATTGTATTACAATTTTTTCTCAATTTTTTCTCAATTTTTTCTCAATTTTTTCCCATAACCTTATTGTTAAGATTTTGGGAGCTTATATGAGCAAAGATTACATAAAAAAAAAAAAAAAAAGACGTTGTAAACCATTGAATGTTATAAACTTTTATTTACAAAAAAAAAAAAAAATGATTAAATATTAATTTAGATTCCATAAATAATGAAATAACATTTATTTTATTTACCATTTTAAACCATCCAAAAAGAGCTTTTAATCCCTAGTAAGAAAACTTTTACTATCTAAAAATAGTTTTTATATCAAATACATAATATAGAGATATTTACTTATCGTTTAGGTACTAGTAATTTCGCAAAACCTTCTATCGTCTGTCAGTCGTTAACAAAATTGACAATTGCTCTTAGTTTTCTCTTTTTGCCATACCAAACTAGAAAATAAAAAAATGGGTTTTAGATGACATTTCCCTAAAAATAAACATATTATTCAAATTTAACAAAATAGCTTATTCAAGTGCAAAGGTGTCTTCCACTTCAGGCAGGTAGAACAAAAAAGTATATAATAACTTTTATTATTCATACATTTACTATTTAGTTCACAATCAAATAGATGGTTAAATTCAAAATAAATATTTAAGGGTGTGTTTATTTTGTTATTTTGGGTAGGATTTTTGAAATAATATTGTGGAGTTAAGTTGGGTTATTATTACGAGAATAGGATTTGAATAAAATGTGTTTGGTAAAGTATTTTGACCTTATTATTTGAGTTGAATAAATTGTTAAATATTTGTTTGGTATAGTTTTTAAAATAATTTATTAATACAATATTTTGGTGCATTTTGTTAAAATAATTTATTATTATAACCCAAAAACTTATCAATTTACATTTTAATAATATTAAACATTTGATTGGTAATTTCATAACCACTAAATTAAAAAAAAAAAAATCTCATATTAATTTCAAGTACTAGTCCAACTATTTGAAAACACCATATTAATACATATATGACAAAGCTACTAATTATCAACCCTTAGAATAGTTTGTACACCTATACTCTATTAAAAACTACGACATGGTCATATGTGCTGCCCACATTTCAGTTGTTATGTTATCTCGTAGAGTCGTTATGTCGTCTATAATACCTTGCTGCGGTTGACTCGATCCATCTCCATTTTCGCCATCTTCTGCCCGTTTTGGCCATGAAAATATACTTGCTCATTACCCGTATTTTCAATATACCATTGGAAGATAGGGTCCTCTGTATTGTACATTCTGATAAAATTATGAAGTACACAACATGCCATAACAATCTTCCCTTGTTTGTCCAATAGGTAATTGTTTATTCCATTGAGAATACATAACCTTTTTTTTTAAAACACCAAAGGTTCTCTTGACAACATTGCAGAGTGATGCATGTCTGTAATTAAACAACTCTTGTGGCCCCCTCCGGTTACGGTAGTGATCATGAATATGGAAAGCCACTCGCCTATGAAGAGCGAGGAACCCTTCTCTATTTGGATAAGCCGCATCAACCAAATAGTATTTTCCTGTAATAAAAGCACACATGTTACTTGAATTCCAGGGCCTCAAGAATGGAGTCAATACGCTATAATAAGTAAAGAAGATACTTATATCTGGTGGAGAATGTGGGAATCCAGAATTATGATCATCAAGAACTGAATTTAAAACTCTCGAATCATGCACAGATCCTTCCCACCCAGTGACGACATAAGTGAACATCATCCTAAAGTCGCACACAACCATTACATTCTATGCCAACATTCCTTTGCAATTTCGGTACCTATCACCAAACTCCTGTGGAACTGAAGCATAAACATGTGTGCCATCAATGGCTCAAATACAATCCTATCATCAAAATTGAATTTTAGTAATATTAACCGGCTATTAACATTAATAACACAATGAAATTAACTACCCACTAATATAAAACATAACGAAGAAGTACCTTAAAGAAAGGGTAATTTTTTCGATTGGTCGATATTTCCAGTGGAACATCACTGAAGTTGGGTTGCCTGATAAACTCTGTCTTCAACTCACATATTGCCTCGCAAACTTAGCCAATATATCTAGAGATTGTCTCACCTGAATGTTGGAAATCCTCTATCATCGTTCTAATTGTCTCCTTTTTACCTATGATTGTCAAAAACATCATGACTTGTTCTTCAATAATCATCCTCCTGGTTGCTCGCAATTTCCTTTGTTGTGCCAAAATGTAACATAAGTTTGGAAAACAGTCTTTGTCCATGCGGTACTTTTCAAAGATTTTTTCATCATGACCATTTAGTACTTCCAACATGTAATCATGACCAGTTAATATGGATGTATGTCGTAAGTGACGCCCATCTGTTTCCAATGCAACAACAGTGCATAGTCCAACTATTATATCTGTCAGTATTTCTTCTTCGTCATCTGCAGTACTTCGTCTTCTTCCTATACACCTAGACAACGCCATTTAAACCTGTATATTTGTAAAACATTAATTATTATTTAACAGTTGTTGTAGTACTTAACAAAATATAACATTCAATTTTTAATTCTAATTACAATCCCAAACTCATATGAAACATGTTATCTCACATAAAACAATAACACAATGAATAAGTTCATACAGTAGCAGACATTTGGGTACATTTTTCAAATCAAGGTCCTGAAAAAAAGTTTGGGTTAGCCGTTAAAGGAATAAGTGCCCACTGGTGCATATAAAAATGTGGCCAAACACTTAAGACATATAGGGTCATCTACAAATTGCGAAAGTCGTTATAAATCCAATTAGTCTTTTCATCGGGCGGCAGTTTTATGAATACCTCCTGCCACCCTGGATTTTGATATAAGTACTTGACAGTTGTCATGTAAAACTCTGTGGGTACTTGCATGGCTGTCAAAACGTCAATACAATGGCTCATGGAAAATAGATCAGATGGAGCACTGGTGTTCTCTTCGTCCCCCTCATCTCTACTACGATTGCTAGCCCTCGATCCTATACTCCTCTCCACAAGCACGTTCGTCAATTTGCCAATGACATCCACAAGTACTTGTCTTGGGCCCCTTCTCTTCCTCCTATTTGTCGATCTTGCATGACCAGATGTGTTTGACTGTTTTTCCCCTATCGTCTGATCCGAATCACGTTTGAAGTCACTATCATCAATGTCAACTGGTCCTTGATCGAAAGAAGTGAAGTTCTCCATAGGTTGAGACGTAGATGTGTACGCATATCTCCTTGTGGTAGTTTGCTTCTCAAATATGACTTCATAAAGCTCCTTGTGAGGAAGTCCCTTGTGGAAGAATTGTTGCGCATGTGGGTTTTGCTGGTAATGAAAAATAAACATATATTAATATTTGTCAATCCCAAAAAAAATTTGTAAAAGTACGGTGTCGTAGATTAATATGAATTTAAAATTTTGAAATTTACCTTGATATATTCTTGCCAAACCTGTAAGGGACACGTTGGAGTTTGCGACTCATGATCCCAACCAAAGCCCGTGTGTTGAAACAATTTCCGCCATGCTTGATATACTTTTCTCAGGTGAAAGTACTTAGAGGCTAGTTGTGTCACATTAAGTCTCCTTCCAGCCAATGATGATAAGTCATCTAACATATCCTAGTAATTTGTTGTTTTTATTGAAGTACCGTGGGAAATTTTCGCATGCTCAGACAACAGAACCAGAAATTTGTGGGTCATCTCAACGAACCAGATGACATTATCACTCATCTAATAACAGTACGGTGAGAACGACAACCAAGATTGGGACACCATAGCAAACACATTACCAACACACATATGCACATTTAAACCTCATAAACTAAACACAAATAAATTGTTACCTCATTCGATCCAACACTACTTGAAGTCGTCAATGCAGGGGAAGCTAGGGGCAATGTTGACCAACAGGGTGTATGATGAACTCCAAGTCTGGAAAAATGTCGAAACTTCCTCTTTTGTTGAAAGTAGTAATTGATCCTACGACGGCAGGCCAAATTATACTGACTTTTGTTCATATGATTGTAATTTGTTCTTACAATCAAATAACGATGCCAAACCTGCCCAAAATTTCTAGTAACTATGGTTAACTAACTATAGTTGACAGTAACTATAGTAACCAATTCAACTAACTAAACTAATTACTCCTAACCATATATAGTCATATTAACTACAACCTAACCAACTACAAATAAAACACAAACAACTAATGAAATTCATACATTGCATTGTGTACAAGTAAAACATAAACAAATATAATACAAATGCAAAATAAAACAATTATAAAATAAACCCTAACCAAAGATTAAACTAATATGAAACAAATGGCTCCTAAAACATAAACCAAATCAGGGACCTAAACCAAATCAGCATGCTGCATTGTTTGGGTTACCTCTTAACAATCATTCAGATTGGCGGTGTGGGGTTGGAGGAGGGTGGTCGACGGTGGGTTAATGAAGTAGTTAAACAACGCCGTTGATTCTTAAAGAATGTGGTGGCTTCGGGTTCGACAAGCTCTCGCTGACGATGGTGGTGGAATTGGTGCTCATTAAAGAAGCTACTAGACTTGGGTTAGGGGAGGTTTCACCGATGATGGTGGTAGATCTGGGCTCGTGTGCGCCAGTGGTGGCGCTCAAACGTGGTGGCTGTCGAAGGTGGTAGCGATCGAAGGTGGTGGATAATGATGGTGAAATGATTTGCTTTGGGTTCTTAGTTTGTTACTATGGTGTGGAAATGTTATCTGTAATTGTTTCTTTTTCCTTAGTAGATCGTGAATGTGTTTATGTCCAGTCAGGGGGTGCTTTGGATATGGGCTGGTGTTTGTTGTTGGTAGGCAGGGTGTGTGGATTTTGGCTTCAATTTTTCAATCTGTCGAGGTTGGCAGTGGGATGTTTTGTTGTTGTCCTCTTCCGCTAGTGGTTGGTTTTTTTTTTTTTTTTTGCTAAATATCGTTGTAGGAGTTTCAAGTTCTTTGGGTGTTAAGTTTGAGTGCAAGTGGAAGATGATCTAGCTTTCGTTGTAACGTGGAAGATGGTGACTGTTGGGGATGACGATTTGGATTTCCTGACGCCGATGGTGGTTTAAAGTTAAGGGTGGGTTTCTGAATGCCTTAAAATGTGTTAGCATAGTGAAGGAAGAAGAAGAAAATAAGGAAGAGAGAGGAAAAGCAGAAAAAAACCGCTGACCTTTTGTCAAAATGGTCATTTTGTGCGTTAGGAATCAATTTTTTAGAATTTGGTTCTCTGAGCACTGAAACACGTTTTTTCGCTAAATCCAATTCCAAATACAAATACAAATAGGGAACCAAACGCAAGTGTCAAAGTGATAGTATACTGTTAAAGTAGAATATAGATAAATATTTCGCATTTGTAATAAGATAATGAAAATAAATATATTGTTATTTTCAGATACTATGTTTAAAAAATAAAAAACATACATACATTTTCAAACCATAACACAAGAGCATATGTTCAACGCTGGAAGCTTTCTTTCTAAAGCAACCGCTTTGGAATTCAAACCTCGACATGTAAATTCTTAAGTTCTGCGTACTCTGTAGATATGAAACAATACCACATTCAAAGGAGTCCAGGTCCAAGTGATCCGGAGCTTGGTTTGGCTAGCTGAAGAAGGGAACGGAAGTGGATCAGCACCCTGATCCTTAGACTCCAGAGCCACTGGAATCTTCAATGAGCTGGAAGCAGCATCAGACAAATCCTTTGAGTACATCTCCGCTTCAGAATCGTCCGCGCCAGGAGTAGAGCTTTTGTTCAGACCTAGAAGCTTTTTGCTCTAAAGCAATAGCTTGGTTCTTCAAAACTCATTCTTGCCTCATACGGATCAGTTCAGCCTCCAGGAATAGAGCCTTCTGTTCGGAGTGGAAGCTTTTTGTCTGAAGCAATAGCTTGGTTCTTCAAAGCTATTCTCTGCTTGCTTCTTGATCAGTTCAGCCTCTAGGAATAGAGCCTCTGTGGGGGCTGGAAGCTTTTTGCTCTGAAAAAATAGCTTGGTTCTTCAAAGCCTCATTCTCTGCTTGGTTTTCAAAGCCTCATTTCTGCTTGCTTCCTGCTCAGTTCAGCCTCCAGGAATGCAGCCTTCTGTTGGGAGCTGGAAGCTTTTTGCTCTGAAACAATAGCTTGGTTCTTCAAAGTCTCATTCTCTGCTTGCTTCTTGATCACTTCAGCCTCCAGGGATTCAACTCTAGAGTTATGCCACCTCAGATGATTCATAACTCAGCTTTGCCTCTGCTTCTGTAACTTACTAGAACTAAGGTAACCTCCGCGCTCAGATTGGACATTCTGCTCTCTAACATCTTCAAAAAAAGCATATAAGACTACCTTGTCCTGGGAAAAGGAGGATATGAAATGGAAAGTTGAAAGGAAAGAATACAGAAGAAAATGGACTAAGTAAACCCGAACAACGGAAACTTCAGAAGGCACTGATGCCATCAAACTCATCTGATAAAACATTTTTCAAATCCTTCATTCCTGTAGAGCGGAGCCTTTTAGATAGCTCTAAAGCAGCAGCTGGATTCTCCAATATGTTCTGAAAACCTATCTGTTCCACTTGAAGATTAAAATTTCCCCAAGCCTAGGAGAGACATGATGACCTCACTGGTGGCCTCCTCAGCTCCCTTCTTTCAGCAGGAGTTTCTTTTTCAATTCTTCAAGGTTCTGAGAGGAATCAAGTAGAATTTAAATCTCTTCGCCCGAATAAGACGTTTTAAATCATTATAGAAAACTTCAGACCTGTATATCTTACGATAGAAAACTTCTAGCAACCGGAGTTCTGATCAGGATGAGACAGCCCACCTACTCCAGAAATTTAGATTTAAGTAAAAAAGTGAAGCACAAACAGATTCTGCCTAAAAGCAGGAAAAAGGCTCAACATCTTTTAAGAGTAACTTAAGAAATTGATCAGCATACTCACTTCACCCTTCATATCATGATGAAAGCTACTTTAAGAAATTCAGACTTTCTAATCTGGCAGAGGAAGTCCCATAATTCATAGTACAATATATCGGAAGTCTGTCCAAGAACATGATGAGAAAAAGCATAATATTACATTTTCCATTAAATTTCAACATGCCACATAACTAGGACCATGAGTACTACCGGTCGTGTGAATCAGCATATCCGCCAATTGATCAACGCCACGGTACTTAATAGGTTGAGGTTTGGGTTGCTGAGAGGTAGGAGTTATGTGATGTAAGCCTGATTTGGATGGATCATCCAAATTCAATATCTGAGCTACTCTTTCTACAACAACATCATACGTAAAAAGCTTTGACCTTGACTTTCAAAACACAATAGCATCAGTACAATTACTCGGAAATAAACATATACATAAAAATAAGCACAATCAAAAAGATAAATCTGCAGTGAAATAACAGAGTTCAAGTTCATCTAATATTAAGCCCTTACATCTCTAGACAAAAATCATCTCCTTCGGCTTTTCAAGAGATCGGAAGGGAACAACCACCTACCACAAAATCATGTAAATTTAGCAACGGAAATGATGAGTTGATGATACCAGATAATTAAAAAAATAAACCCAATGTCTAGGGATGACAAGGAAGATGTCACTACAAAAAAGCAAAGAGTAAATCATAAATGTAGGGAGATTGTAAACCAATAATAAAACAAAATGAATATCAAAGAAAAAGTTAGTTTTCTGAATACAATAGGAACCATGGAGGTGTACCTGTTGATTATGCACATAGTCCAAAAATGAAGGAAACATTGGATAGCGATATGTTCAGCACTTTCAACTGTATGAGATTTTTGAAAGCCACAATACTCCATCTATAAGCTGCAACAGAGACAATGCCGGAGTTAGCATTATCATAGGGAAAACAAATCACACCATGTTTGTTATACCTAACATTTACCTGGCTAGCTCGAAATGTATTTTTCTTTTCAATGGGTGTGCATATCACAATGGGCTCAAACCAAGTTCCTGAATATCAAAACATGAGTAAGCTACATCCTCAAAATAATGCATACAACCATGCAAATTTAAATATGACATGCTAATTCTATCAAATAAACCTACGTTCCAATACAACCTCTAGAAGGACTTAAACCCAAAAATCCAGTCACGAAGATCTTAGCTCTCAGACAATATAAAAGTCAACCTTTAATTCACCAGTCAATCCAAATAACCAAAGCATGGGAGAGTAGACAAGTGGACCTGAGACAAGTTGCATACCAGCAAGTACCCTACACACTCTATGGCAGAGAGCACCTAATTATCAAATTTTATTCTCACAGGCAAGGATGACATTGGGTTCAACTCAAGCATAACTAAAGGAATCATCTCCAAAAAATAAGAAACAATGTAAGTCTCTAAGGGGCCACAAACTATTAACACACCCAAACTTTAAATTCATAAACGGTGTGATTAACTATTAATTTTTTTTTTTTTTTTAAAAAAAATTTAAGACCATTTTTCTTGAGAGAATTTTGAGTGCTCGGATCCTTTTTCTTTCCAAATACATACATAATTTTGCATTAACTATTGATTACGTAAAATAGAAATAAGTGTGAAATACTATAGCAATCCACTCCTTAGTAAACAAATGAAGAGAAAACTATCTTTTGCAGCTTTACTAATAAGTAATGGACTAAGAAATTCT